CCACTATACAGGTATATAATTAACATTATACAAGTTTTTAACCACTATACAGGTTTCATGAGGTTATGCAATAACAAAGGTTAACAGCTAGGGAACCAAGCCTCGTTACGTCGGCACATCATGTGACCAAAAGGGGGCCGGGCGAGTATGTAATAAGAGGTTGGCCACGCATTGGTGGTATTAGTAATCATTGTGCGTTGGAAGCGTAGTAATCGTATTAGGAACAAAGATTTTTTTCTCTCCTGTTCTTTTATATTTCCACCAATTGTTAATTGGTGTTAATAAGTACTAATTAAAATATGAGCAGCTGTAATCGATGTAAATGCCCATAAAGATCAGTTGTGAATATTCTAATATTTAGTGCCCATGGGGACAATCTCACGCTTCATTAGCGTGCAATTAAAACCTCAATCAGTATTGTTATGACGGGAACGGGAAATCATTTTCGGTTGATATCCATCAAGACTATCGTGGAGGCGATGGACGAAAACCTTTCTCAGTGTTTGCGTGAGTAGGTATACAAGGAACTGACTTTTTTATTAGCCTGTTCAGTTACTTGTAGCAGTGGCGGAAATTCACTTTATTCGTTTGGGGGGGAGCAAAGCCTCCTAAATTTGCGTCAAAACCTTCAAATTTCCGACGTACCCCCCACTTGCACTCGAAAAGAGTGTTTTTAGCCCTCTTTTAGGTAAAAAAAAATTCGTCAATTTTCCGTGAAGGTGGGGGGGGGGGCGGACGCCCACCCGCCCCACCAAGATTTCCGCCACTGACTTGTAGGATCGCGCATATACGGCTGTAGTTTCTTATATATCAGTTTCTTATAATAACATTGCATAATATATTTTTTAGGTTGTGACAGCACCAGTTCCTTTTATCGGAAAGGTAAGAAAACGATGTGGGACACGCTCGAGCGCAATCGTGGATACGTGGTTGCATTCGTATCACTTGCATGGGAGTACTTTTTCTCCTTCGGATGATCTCGTTGCACAGCTGAATAAGGTTTGTTTGCTTGATGTATGGCGACAAAACATCCGAGAATGTCAACAAATGTAGGTTTGCATTGTTCAAATTGGGAAAGTGTTCTGATGACATGCTACCGCCAACATGTGAAAGCTTGCTGCAACACATACGTCGGGCAAACTATCAAGCAGCTATTTGGCGCCAGTGTCTTGACGCAGAAATGGATATCCCTCCTGGTTGTCATGGATGGCGGATAGTCGACGGAGAGTTGAAGATCGTGTGGTTGACCCGTCCTCCGGCACGGGACTCGATACTTGAATTCATCCATTGTGGTTGCAAGACTGGTTGCGAAACTCACCGTTGTTCGTGCAAGAAAGCCATGATCCAATGTACAGATGTATGTACTTGTGCTGGGTGTATGAATGCAGCGATTGATGACGAACAGTCAGACAAAGAGATGGAAGAAGAGGAAGAGCTCGGTTTGGATATGGATGATGATATTTAAAGTAGCTACCTACATTTTATAGAAATGTTGAAAATGCACAAATTAGATCAACTCTTTGAAGAGATGTTATTTGCTAGAAATCAAAAATAACACTTCACTAAAAAATATGCATGGTTAACCGAATTTTTTATTTCAGGAAACATTTTCTTGTAGTACGACAAAATATTTGACCAATTTTAAAAACAAATCTGTTGAGCTAAATTTAAAAGAATTATAAACATGGTTTTTCGAAATAATTTTTTTGGCCCTTCAGAATTTTAAAACATAATATTTTTATTTTAATATATTTTTTTAATATCTTGAATCGTCATTGTTGCCATAGCAACAGCGATGACGTCGCTCTTGTGACCAATTTCAAATTCTTTGACTGTTGCTTTATAAAAGTTGCACAACTTTTTACTTCTGTCAAGTAATATTCCTTCAAAAAGTTTGATCTAATTTTTGATTTCCTCCTATTTTTAAATTGAAGGGAGACACCTCAAGTTGTATTTTAGTTGTATTAATATGTTTAAATCAGTTCGTGTGAAATACCAACCGCCAACGTCAATTTTTGTCCGATGTTTTCGAGTTTATTGTGAATAAACCGCGCTCAATTGTCCTTGCGCGTGTAGTTCTCCCCCCTGGAAAGAGCCTGAGACTAGTTACTTCAACATATTTTACATGAAGTTCCTTGGAAACAAAATGGCGGATTTCGAATTTCGAGGAGTGCCAATTGTTGAAATTCAAATGCAAATTTCTAAAAAACTGCAGGTTTCTAGCAGTGCCAACAAGCAGAAATGTGAAAGGTGAGTAAAAATTTATATATTCTGAGTTTTTGGCGTAGTCTCCGAAGGTGTCCAACGAAACTGAACGATAATCGGCTTGGGAATACGGACTATATCGCGTAATAAAGTATTGTATTATGTAAACATTGTTATTCATCTTTAAGCCTGGAAATGATATTTAAATTTCGTTGTTGTGGTTGTTCTTCCGAATCTTGCTTTGTCTACATTCGCTGGCGAACAAATTTCAACAAAGATTGAAATTTCATTTCGATACTCCTAAAAATTCTTTGGGATAATTACTTATTGCTTTCTATTTGACAGAAACTCGGTTTCATATCATCATTACATTTGGCAAGTATTTGTATTAGGTTGTAGAAAAGATTTTGATTTGTCGTAATTTTATACAATGTCAATGTACAGGTTAGTAAATAATACCCCTAAAGGTAACGTTCAGTGGTCCATTGCACATATCAACATATATAGTTCAGTGCTTGGTAACCAAGCCTTAATTAAAGTGATCCCAAAAATTTTTTCTGCTGGCCGCAGTCTTCATAGTGAGTTGGTCACTGGGAAATGAGTGTAAACGCTCTACAATGTGTCTTAAAAAAAAGTTAGCCCATTCAAATTAGCTATAATGTTTGTAGTAATTTGACAGCTCTAATTGCTTTGAATTAAATGTTGGGTAAGAACACAAGGTCTTGTGCTCATGGGACAAAACTCAAAGAAATAAAAAATAGAAAATTTAAAAGTTTTTAAGAGTTTTGTCCCATGAGTACAAGACCTTGTGTTCTTATCCAATCATTAATTCAAAGCAATTAGAGCTGTCAAATTACTACAATACGTTATAGCTAATTTGAATTTGAAAGGGTTCACTTTTTTTTGAGACACACTGTACAGTACAGTGCAGTGCATGCACGATCAATGTTTGTAATTCGTTCTTTAGAAAGATGATTTCTACAGTTCATTGTCTTTTATTGTTATGATCCACAAGTCACAAAGCCCGTTCATATAGATTGATAGCGACCTTCGTACAGTAATGACAGTACATGTATAGCAAATCGGGATGCTCATACCGTACTTATACCGTTGCCGTGGCAACACACGCTTTCAAAATTCAGGCGAAAACTGCGTTCACACCATAGATATAGGAGATCTAGATTGCTAACGCATACCTAACGCAGGCGGGGCCTACATGATAAATCAAGATGGCGGTACAACAGGGCAAAAAGACTATAGATTCTATTACGAAAATCAGGATTTTTGCATTTTTTGCCGTCGCATTGTTTCGAAACTTATTCGGTCAAATTTTATGGTAAAGAGAAACTTACCGCGAAGATTTTGAGCATATATATGATTGAATTGGATGAAAAATCGCAAAATTATCCAGCGATAAAAGTTCGTGTGAAATGGTCAGTTGGTCAGTAGCAGCATTTTATTGCCAGAAATACTGTGCTATGTTCATGGGCGTACCGGAAGGAAAAATTTAGGGGGGCGGAAAGAAATTTGCCCGACTTTTCCGAATTTTGCCCGACAAGTACCGAAAAAATTTTTCCCTGAATTTCTTCTGGCGACATCCCCCCTCCGTCGCCAAAAAAATTTCGGTCAGTGTACCATTTTAGGGGTCAAAAATTTTTTCCGGACCTACCAAAATTTTCCGGAACCTAACAAAAATTTTCGAAATATCAGTAAATTGACCGCAAAATTTACAGAATTTGTTCAATTTTTTTTTAATAAACCAAAACTGCCCGACTGTTCAGCGAATATTGCCCGACTGCCCAACTAATCCATGCATGTACGCGGATGATACTCAAATCTTTTCATCTTCCTACGATGCAAATGAACTTGTTGTAAATTTAAATTCAGATCTTGCCCATGTCTGTAACTGGCTTAAAGAAAATAGGCTGCAGATGCATCCATCAAAATGTAAAATGATGTTTATTGGCTCCCCGTATAATCTTAATAATATAATGTGTGAGGAACCCGTTGTGGCTAATACAAAACCCATATCACGAATTGCTACACAAATGTGCCTAGGAGTAAAACTAGATGAAACCCTTAATTGGGATAGTCACATTGAAATGATATGCAAGAAGGCGAGCGCTGCTATTGGCGCTATGAAACGTATAAAGCCCTTTGTTCCAATGCATACCTTAGAATCGATTTATAAAAGTCTTGTGCAGCCCTACTTTGATTATTGTTCCCCCCTTTGGGACACTTGTGGTAAGTTGCTAAGAGACAAGTTGCAAAGATTTCAGTCTTGTGCAGCAAGAGTCCTAACGGGTGCTAATTATGATACTCGCTCAGCTGATCTTCTCAACATGCTTTCTTGGGATACACTTGAAAATAGGCGGTCTGGTGCCATGTCAGTATTAATGTATAAAATACTTAACGACCACACTGCGCCAGGTCTCCGGGGGTCATTCGTGAGAAGAGAAATAGATCAAACTAATTATCATCTTCGAAACACAGCAACTGATCTAACAATTCCTAAACCGAAACGAAAATTTCTTAAAAGAAGTTTTAAATATAGCGGCGCTATGCTCTGGAATCAAGTCCCAAACGAAGCAAAATTGGCCGAGTCGCCTCATTCGTTTAATCAATTGTTGGACAGCGACATGCTTCCTAATTATTTGTATATAGTAACGTGTACAGTATGTGTGTACTAATATTTAGTTTAAATTTTCCTTTTAATGATTTTTAAGATCTAAACACGCCCCCCATGGAAACCAGCCTAGAGTTGATGGGGCTAGCGTGTTCTTCTTTCTGTTAATTTTAAATAAAGTATTACCTACCTATTACCTACCTACCGTATCGTAACGTAGCGTCAGGCTAAAGGCGAAACGTTCATTGTTTTTCATCCGCTCCACCCGCGCGGGCAAAGCGACTGCAATGGCAAATTGCCTTAAAGGCAATTTTCCATTGCAGTCGCTTTGCCCGCGCGGGCGGAGCGAACATTACTCAACTTTGTCGGTAGTTGCTTAATCTGGGCATTTTTTGCCCGCCTGAATGCTCGCGGACACGCCATGAAAGTAGAACTACATTCAACTTTCTTGGCGTGCCCGGGCGACTGATTTTTCACGTGATTAAAATTGGTCGCTCCCGCCCGCGCAAAGCGACTGCAATGGAAAATGGCCTTAAAGGCCGTTTTCCATTAACGTTCGCTCTGCCCGCGCGGGCAAAGCGTTCACGCCCGCGTGAGCAGATTTTCAAAGCCCGCTCCGCCCGCGCGGGCAAAAAGCGACTGCAATGGAAACCAGTCTTAAAACTACGTTCATGCTCATTAGTTCCACTCTAGTGCTCAGGAAACAATGAAATACGCTTCGTTACGGTCTTTATATGTGTGTAAATAAGATTAAATAATAATAATAATAATAATAATAGTGTGAATAGACGTAAAACATGGCGTCGTTATCTCACTCGGGCGTAGTGTAGAAATCGAACGTAGTCTAAAAATCAGTTGGATTGTTGTTCCGATCCTGTAGCTGGAAAACAGTGAAACCTCTTTTATCAGGCATGCCTTCAGTCTCAGAACAATGAGCGAAATATAAAATTTCCGGTTATTTATGAAAACCCATATATTCTTGCGAGTCTGTGAGTTTGCGAGTCACAGCACAGAACCCCAGCGGGTCCAGGTTACAGTTGTTTATATTTTTAACCCGCATAGTATTGGTCCATTGCCGGCGCGCCTGCTCTTGGGGTTACGTAGTCTCCAAAATAGGACATACTTGCATACGGCGCCTAAAACATTCTTCGTTTTTCGACTTTAATGCATTTCTTTCGAATTTAGTCTATATCCCCGGCAAGAATGATAACATACAACTCTCAAACCAACGATGCTTTAATCAAAGAGCTTAAATTCGCTTCAAAATACTCGGAGGAACGACAAAATTCGGCCAAAATGCATCCGAGGCATGTAGGAGAAAACATTTGAATATGTTGGTCAATTAGTGGCTTAACGACTTCCTGTTTACTGCACAGCACCTACATGCCTGGGATATATTTTGGCCGAATTTTGTCGTTCCTTCGAGTATTTTGTAGCCTGCGTTGCCCGCGTTTTGGGGAGGGAACGCCTGCCGTAAAGGCCTAGTAAAATTGATACCGCCTACTTAGTTAATATTCCATATTAACACCGCCCACTCGAAATAGTTTTGTATATAAATGATGACTTGAAATGTCAATTGTTGGGTTATCGTTCCATGTTTCGCGCACCAATATAAGTTAGGGTTAGGGGTTAGGTATTAGGGTTAGGTTAGGGTTAGGGGTTAGGGTTAGGTTTAAGGTTAGGGATAGGGTTAGGGTATGTATATACGTGTATGGAGGTATCCAGTTAACTTTTCAGTACACTATAATATCCATTACATAACGTTTACTATATTGGTGCGCGAAACATGGAACGATTACCAATTGTTGCATGTTTACTATAGCCTGCGCTACATGCTTTCACTAAACTTTTTACAATAGATGGATAGCGATTCAACTGCCTGGAAATACAAGGAAAACGTCGGCATTTCGAGCGAAGGCCCTTCGACTTTGTCTGGAAATTAATAGGAGACGAAGACCGTTCAAAATTATATTATTTATGCTTTGCACCTGTATGGCTGTACTACAGTTATAAATATTGCAGTAAATATAATAAATGACTTAGGAAAAATAAATAGACCCCTTCCTGTGTTATACACGTTGGCAGGCATGCAATGTATTTTAAAAGCTCCAAAGAGAGCTTCGTATTATTATGGTGTATTAAACACAATGGGGAATGAATCATTTTATATAATCGTATTAAATTTGCCAGCCAGCAAAATTTATACAAGGCAAGGACAGCCAAGGTTTTATACTCTATACTATAGTGACCATACGGTAAAATCATACAACATATGAAGTAATAGCAGTATGGCTTGCCTTATTCTGTTTAGATACCGGTATATGTTATACATTTAGCCTATTATACATTTCACACTTGGTCTTTTGAATTTTATATTTTAGCCGACAGGTTTACAAGCGATGCCGTTTGTTTTTACTGTATTTATTTTTAAATATTTGAATAAATTAGCGTAACATGTCAATCAACCTGTCGTTAACGTAAATTCAGCCAATCACAATTCTCGGCGGCCGTAGAAACGAAAACAGATAGGCCTTTACAGCAGGCGTTTCCTCCCCAAAACGCCGGCAACGCAGGCTAAGTATTTTGAAGCGAATTTAAGCTCTTTGATTAAGGTTTCGTTGTTTTGAGAGTTGTATGTTATCATTCTTGCCGGGGATATCGATTAAATTTGAAAGAAATGCATTTAAAGTCGAAAAAAGTATGATAGATAGATGTTTTATTAAAACTACTTTGCAGCTGAAGCTGAATTGCGTAGATGTTTACGTAAAATGTACAAGAATGGTGTAGGTTATATAAATATTTACAATTGGTGACAGGATACAAGGTGCAAATGACATTATTTACTATTTAACATATGTGGTATAAAAGTGTTCTTGAAACGCTTAGTACGTGCTAAAAGAGAACTAAAGGAACGTTTGTGTCTCAGATTATATGTCTGCTTCTTCTTTGGGGGTAAAAGTTTATAAAGTTTGTGATCTGAGTTTGATGTTATCGAATCAAACAGCTTCAAACATAACATTTGCCTTCGATTGACTAAAGTTTCTAGCCCAGAATACTCTAAGCATTTATTATACTTTTCGCATTTAAATATAATTCCCAATGATCTTTGCTGGACACGTTCTAAATCATCTGCCAGATACTGTGGTAGAGAGTGATGGAAGACTGGCGCTGCATATTCCAATACGGGCCTAATACAAGTACAGTAAAATTGCACAATTTCTTTTTCTGGGACTTTTGCTCGTTTCAATTGTACTAAGCAATACAAACGTTTGTTCGCTTTCTTTATGGTATCCTCGATGTGCATGTTCCATTTCAAAGAACTGGAAATAGTAAGACCCAGTAGTTTAGCATGTTTGACCACTTCAACCGGTTGATCGTTTACCATAACAGGATTAAATTGCTGCTTTTCCCGTTTGAAGTCAATTCTTAATTCTTTGCACTTGCTTGAATTTAATTGGAATCTATTTTGTAAAGACCACTCCTGGAGTTCAGAGGAACTAAGTTGGATATTACTATCCGTGCCTTTTTGAATAATCTCTGATGTAGAGGTGTCGTCGACGTATTTCCATGTATTTGTGCCATCTAACCGGAGGTCATTTATCATTAATAAGAATATCCAAGGGCCTAGTTTTGTGCCTTGAGGCACTCCAGATGGTACTCTTTCCCAGTCTGAATAAACATTAGACAATTTGACCCTTTGGAATCTATTCATTAGGACGTCTACAACCCAGCAAGCAACTTTACGGGGGATTGGTAAATCATTAATTTTCTTGATTAGAATGTTATGATCGATAAGATCAAAAGCCTTTCTATAGTCATATAATATGACTCTGAACTGTCCGTAGCTTTGGACCATTGATGAATCATCGAGATTAAGGCTTGGGTGGTTGATGATTTTGGAATAGCACCATATTGGTTGGGATCAATGATTTTCAGGATTGCAGGTGCTATGTAGTTGGAAACGATAAATTCTTCACCAACTTTAGAAATGCAAGATGTTAAGGAAATTGGTCGCAAGTGTTTGTTTATATCCATAATTGGCTTTTGTTTCGGAAGTGGAGTGACATCTGCATATTTCCACGATGATGGTAACCTCTGCTCCTTATATGAGCTACTTAAGACAGAGCAAACAGGTTTTGCAAGGATTTCAGCATAATCTTTTAGGATCCAGTTGGAAATTCCATCGGGGCCAGTAGCTTTCCGAGCATTAAGTTTTTTGAGGATGTTATATGTTGAGAATTCTGTAATATTTGTGAACTCATAGTCAGGGCCAATTATTGTGTCGGTAAATGGGTTGTCTTGGAGACGTTGATATTCTTGCATAGGTTCCACAAACGCTGAATTGATTCTGTTCGCAATATACAATAAATTCTCTTTATCGATGTTGTCAATATGTAATTGAGAAATCAAATTCTCGGATTGTGTAGGGGTTTGCATACCAGACAGTTGTTTCAATTCCTTCCACCAGGCAGATGGCTTTGCATTCTTAAGATTCTCAACTTTACAGGAAAAATAGTTACCCCGTAATTTTTTCCTCTCTTGGTTTACGAGATTGCGATAATGTCGGAAAGAGGTATTGTCCTGGTCTCTAAAAGCCTTTTGTCTACATTTGATTAAGTAAACAAAATTAGGTGTGACCCAGGGGGCATTCTTAGGATGAACCTTCACTTTATCAATTGGCATAATAAAATCCAATCCGATTTTGATAATGTCCTCTAGAAAAGAGAATTTTTCTTCACAGGTTTTTCCTGAATCTATTATGTCCCAGTTTATTGAGCTCAAATATCGACCAAGTTCATTTTTCCGAGCTACACTTAAATTTCTCTTTAAAATCGTTTTTCTACGGTTGGTAGAAGTAGGTCTATCCTTTGGGGTTAACAACAAGACATTGTGATCCGACAATCCGAAAGGGGGAAAAGATTGTAGATTATCCTTTTCATAATATTGGGGAATGTTAGTTATGATTAGGTCCAATATATTATTGCCTCTGGTATTGATCTTGACAAGCTGCTTCATTTTAAACTGATATAAAATACGGTTAATGTTTAGATGATTGAAATCACCACCAAGAATAATGCCACAACCAGGATATTGGCTCTCCAATTTTACTAGCGAGACAGTCAAGTAATCTAGAAGTAATTTGTCGTTGGAAGTTGGGGGATGATAAATAGTAGCAGTAATTATGCATGGTATACCACGTGGAAGTCTATTTGGTCTTATTTTCACCCAAAGAACTTCAAATTCGGGCGATTGAACCTCAGCCAGGACGTTGAACTGAATGGAGTTTTTAATATATAGACAAACACCGCCATGGCTACTCGTATTCCGATTCTTGTAAGCCATATTGTATTCGGGAATGTCCACTTGGTTACTGTCAATTTGATCTTTCAGCCATGTTTCCGTTATAAATACCAGATCGGGATCTTTATCAAGCACGAAATGCCTGACTTCGTCTATTTTAGGAACCAGAGACATTGTATTGGTTAGGACTAGTGAGGGGACAAATTCTTTAGTGGTTTGAATGTGTTGATTTGTCGACGAGGTTGTTGTCTGTTGACGTTGAGGATTACTTAAATATTCATTCAAATATTCGCGAAAACGAAGGCTCTTCCCACCACGACGACCACGGAATGGCTTTAGTATACCAATAAGACGAATCATAAAGTAGACATGGCTATTAATGTACCTTGTTTGCGACGAATATCGAAGACTCTTTAAAAAGCATTGGCTGTATTTTATCTTGCTTGGCGCGACAACGCTTGATGATGGCGTGTGTAAACAATGGTGAGATAATTCTGTCACGGAAGTATTTCGGCTAGCCGGTCCAGGGTTGGGAGAAATATCCATACATACAGTTAGGTCAACTGTAAACAGTTTTGACGATAATGCCAGGCTGATTGATCCATGTTTAACGGATTTAGTAATCGCAAAAGAGATTTTACCTTTCGATGAATATTTCGTTCGGCGAATATCGACAAAGCACCGAACACAAACACGGTCCCATAATCTTGAAAATAAACCATCCTTTTTCAATCCTTCAGGATCTAAGATAACTGAGGTCTTATAAACCTTTTCAGACGTTTCAATCATTAAAAAACACAATAACAAAGATAAAAATATCAAATTTACGATCAAGCGATTATTTACAACGGCAGCCATATTGGCGCCCGCGCTCTCTAGTTTTAGGCGCCGTATGCAAGTCGTATGGAAGCGCCGTATGTAAGGCTATTTTGGGCGCTATGTCCCTTCCTTCTATTTTTAATAGTAACCCCATAGATACCTTATCCCCGAGCCGACGGCGCGAAGCGCCGTGCGAGGGTACTAATTCCCCCCGGCTATTTACACCTGGGGAAACGAAAGCATTAGCGAAGTCTAAAGTTCATAAAATATCGCGGGCGCGGATCACCAACCGTGGGTGGTCATTCTCACTGATCTCAAAAATATGGCGGACTGTCATGAATAGCGAACACTGTGATTGGTCCAGTTTAAAGTTTGCATTATAACGACTGCATGACGACAGTGAAATAGCAAACATTTCTTTATTTTATTGATTGATAAATTTCTTGCAAATATATTTCATTTTTGCTCGCAAGGTTTTGTAAATTTCAAGAAAGAAATGGCGAAAGAATCGGCTAAAAGAAGGAAGCCAACGTTAACGAAGGTAAGTTTGTTTTAAATATTGATTTTATAATTGCTTTGAAACCCGACGGTCTTTGCGTATATGAAACAACTAAAGGTACGTTTACACGCTGCGATTTGTCGGGCCGATTTTGGAAAATAATGGATGCCCCTTCTTCGATATTTAGCGATTTAAACGTTCAATTGAAGCTGTCCGCTCTCTCGTCTGTTCATATTATAGTTTTCTGCGTGCGAAAAGTTTTCAACAACTTTACAACGGAAGAAAAATCGTTGAATCGTGAGAAAAATCTGTGTTTGTGTTACAGATTTTTCTCCCGATTTTGTGAATCGCAAGGTGCTGACGCGAGTACTGACGACAGGTTATTTACATACAGCGAGCAAAATCGGCCCGACAAATCGCAGCGTGTAAACGTACCTTAAACAAGACAGCATATCGGGCCCCATTTCAGTGTATCTTTAATATTGATTCCCTTTTTTATTACATTGAATTTTTTTAAATAAAAAAGAAAGCAAAGTTATTTGCATGCGAGAATTTGAAATCATTTTATTGCAAACTCAAAGTTTATCGATAAAGCCATTTAATTAAAGAATATAAAAGGCAGTTTAGTTTTATCATGGATAATGGTTTATAAAGAACACTTTAAAACGTTTTGCGATTTGCGAAGCGTTTGTGGTTGAATTTTACCTTAAATTGAAGCTTATATTACGTATAATATCATACCTAACATATATATGTTGGGAAATTGATAATTTTGTAATTAAAAGTGATATTTTTAAGCGATTTTTCATTTGTAAGAATATTCTTAAGAAATTATCGTGTTACCATGACAACTACTTTAGATACTTCATGTTCGGAAAATACAATGGTTTGTCAGCAAGGCGAGGGTTTCTGCATGCATGTATTTTCTAGTATACAAGATATACATTCCAGCGGTTACCCCCATTTGAATAGATAGCGGCCATGTTGGTAGTTCCCACTCGCTAATTTAAACGCTTAAAAAACCCAATAACTTTCATCATTTGAATAGTTTAAAAATATATTCGAAATAGGTTTAACTTAATGTTTAAGTTCCCTGTTTAGGAAATAGAAAACATACGAATCTTCTCATTTCATGGGAATGAGTCTGCAATCGCGGCTTCAATTTTTGAATTGCAGAACAATTAGATGCACCATCTAGTGTATATAAGATATCTACGAGTAACCCCAAGAGCAGGCGCGCCGGCATGGTCCAATGCTATGCGGGCTAAAATATAAACAACTATTAAACTATTAAACTATTAAACTACTAAACTATTAAACTATTAAAAACAATTAATAGCTGGAAAACAATTAATAGCTTACTAGCTCGTTCCTTCAGTGACACATCCGTGAATGAATTAAAAGTAAATGATGCAAATCTTACTTCACCCGGTGAAATAGCTGAAGCATTTAACACATACTTTTCAAATGTTGGCCCTATTTTGGTAAATGTTAGCTCCATGGCAGATTCCAGTGTTTCTTTTGAACAATTTGTAAAACCTATTCAATCTAAAATGTTACGTTTTAAGTTGGTACCATACAGCAAAGTACTCAACCTTTTAAACAACCTGTCTAAATCTAAGGCAACAGGCCTTGATAAGTATCAGGGAAGATATTGAAAGCTGCTGCCTGTTCTATTGCCTCCTAGCTTACTTATATTTTCAATCATGCGCTTATCTCTAGGCTCTAGCCACTTTCCATCTGAATGGAAAGTGGCAAGGCTGCTGCCTCTTCAGTTCCAAAAGGGCCCACAAAATTTAGCTGAAAATTATAGACCAATTTCAATTTTGCCATCAATAAGTAAACTAATGGAAATAATTATGTGCGACCAGTTATATGAAAATCTTAATGAGAATTCGTTACTATCTGACACCAGTTTGGTTTTCGTGACTTTCATTCGAGCGCTTCGGCTCTTCTAGATTGTACAAATAGTTGGTATATGAACATGGACCGTAAAATGTTTAACTTAGTAGTGTTTCTTGATTTAAGGAAGGCCTTTGACACTGCATGTCAACCATGATAATTATACTAGTGCGTCAATTGGAGTTATACGGTATCACCGGAAATGCGTTGTCTATGATTAAATCTTATTTAACCGACCGTAAACAGAAGTGTCAACTTGGTGACGTAATAACTTCTGAGAGTCGTGTTACATGCGGTATCCCACAAGGCACCATTCTTGGCCCACTCTTGTTTCTCTTATACATAAATGACCTACCAGACTGTCTTAGACAAGTTAGTCCTCGGCTGTTTGCCGATGATACGAATCTTACTGCAGGTGGAGAAACTATAGAAGAGGTTGAGTTGGTCATGAATAATGATCTCTTACGCATAAAAGAATGGCTTTTGGCCAACAAACTAAGTCTTAATGTTGCAAAAACGCAATTTCTTTTAATTGGCTCACATAAATTGAACAACCTTGATTCTCAACCATCTGTTAACATCGGTCATGACAGTATTAAACAAGTCCAACATAGCAGAGTTCTTGGTGTTGAAATTGACGAAAATCTATCTTGGAACAAACACATTGAAAACGTAGTTAAAAAGGTTACGTCTGGAATTGGAGCTATGCGAAGAATCTGTGATTTTGTTGACAGAGAAACTCTGTCTTCCATTTATAATGCTTTAATACGTCCTCATTTTGACTATTGTAGTGAGGTATGGGATACACTTGCTGTGGGGCTCTCCAGCAGACTTCAAAAACTGCAGAATAGAATTGCAAGAATAATAATGAATTTGAGGTACAATACACCTGGTATAGAAGTAATAAACGCTCTAGGGTGGGAGCCTCTTGAAACTCGACGAGCTAAATCTAAAGTTAAACAAATGTATACAAAGTTCTAAATGATTTGGCTCCAAGTTCACTCGCTACTCTCTTCGTACGCAAAAGAAACATAACAGAATATGATCTTAGGGGCTCCTCTACCTCACTATACAACTACTTTTGCCAAAAACTGATAACCTTAAGAAAAGCTTCTGTTATGATGGAGCTAAATTGTGGAACTCATTACCTGCAGATATGCGTGATTCAGATACATTATATACCAACATTCATAAATGCAATTGACGCTTATAATTTCAAATATTAATTATGTTATTAGTTTTGTACATAATTGTTTTGTATAGTTATTTGTACTAGTTTCGTGTGTGTAATATTTTTTTCATATAATATCATGTAATCCACACGCCCCTCGTGGAAATTTTTTAAATAAAGTTTTACCTACCTACTATTAAACTATTAAACTATTGAATAAAAAAATAACCTGCTGTTCCTGTGCTGTGACTCGCAAATTCGCAACTCGCAGACTCACAACTCGCAGACTCGCAACTCGCAGACTCGCAATACAGGGTGTATAAAAAAAGGAGACCTTTAGAAATCAACCATATTGTTAAAATTTGAATGCCTTTTCAATTGCACATATGCTGAACCGTAGTACGTGAAATATTGATGGGTGCATATATTAGAAAAAGGAGACCTTTAGAAATTGAAATAACGTTTAAACAAAAGATTGTCTGCTCTTGGGAACAATCTGCCATGCATATTGTACGTAGATCGCATGTTACGCATTTGTGGGCTTAGCAAAGTGCTCCAGGATTCAAATTATAACAATGGTTGATTTCTAAAGGTCTCCTTTTTCTAATATATGCACTCCATCAATATTTCACGCACCACGGTTCAGCATATGTGCAATTGAAAGGCATTCAAATTTTAACAATATGCTTGATTTCTAAAGGTCTCCTTTTTTATACAACCTGTATAGCCGACCTCGTAACAGCATACAGTTAGTAAACGAGTATGATCTGACATAAACTATAGGATTGCATTATTATTGATTATTATTCGTTGATATATATGTTATATAAGTATATTTTATTTCATTTCTTTTAGTCCGTGTGTTGTGACCCGATATCGTTCACTTTCATTAAGCATGTCTTAGATCTGAAATATTTTTACGGGAACTAACACTTTCGAACACGCTGAGTTCAAATCCGAAAAGTTCCCACTCCGTAGACCCGCAGTTTTTTCACAAAATGCTATTTTATCTTCACTAATTTCACAACAAATTTTTTCATTGTTCAACGATACGGTCGATGACGATACACGATTATGTCACTCAAAAGGACGAATTTCTATTAACCGTTCTTCCTTTTAACAAAAGATCGGTTTTGCTCGAATAATTTTGAGTTATGTAATCTTATGCGTACAACATATCTTGTCTATAACTTTGAGAAGGTACAGATAACGCTTTCAAAAATCCTCAGTTCTAGAGATATCTCTATAAAATCACAATGACGTTAATGTCAAGTCTTTTAGCTATGTCACTGGCCTGAAAAATAACTCTTTAAACGCGATCAAGATATTTAAAACAAAAGTAACGCGAAGCCAACGTAACGGCAAAGATAACGCTAAAACGAAATATTGTCGAATGGTTGCAGGTAGAAGACTTACGGCAGGATCAATCTTAAATAACCTTAAACTATAAGAATAAATGTTCACATCAAAGACAAAGATCAGTCACAAAGTATAAAATACGCTCTGTAAACTTACCGCGAAGTGGAGAAATGTGTGCCTGAGCTGTTTATTTGATGATTTCGACGTATATAGGCCCTCTTTCCAATAATACTCTCTTATCGCACAGCATAACACCAACTGATGTAATAGTTCAAATCAATGATAAGTTATCTCTTGAATTACGTCTTGGAAACCGTGTTGGAAATTTCAGTGCTGATCCATTACATATAGATTACCGTTTTATATCTTTGTATAAAACATTTTGATCGCATGTAAGGAATTATTTCTCAGCCCAGAGACATAGCCCAAAGACTTGACATTAACGTCCTTGTGATTTTATAGAAATAGATCCAGAACTAAGGATATTAGAAGGAATTATCTGTACCTTCTCAAAGTTGTAGACAAGATATGTTGTTTACGTCCAACACGCATAAGATTACATAACTCAAAATGATTCGAGCGAAACCGGTCTTTTGTTAAAAGGAAGAATGGTTAATAGAAATTGGTCTTTTTGAGTGACATAATCGTGTATCGTCATCGATCAGTGATGTTGAACAATGAAAAAATTTGTTGTGAAATTAGTGAAGATAAAATAGCATTTTGTGAAAAAACTGCGGGTCTACGGAGTGGGAACTTTTCGGATTTGAACTCAGCGTGTTCGAAAGTGTTAGTTCCCGTAAAAATATTTCAGATCTAAGACATGCTTAATGAAAATCGTTTTCTAGGCACTTTGCGAGGTCACAACACACGGACTATTTACGCGAGGTAGGGAATCGTTTACAATCAATCTCTAATGACTGTCAGTTCTTAATGTTCGTCTTCGTGGGGTAGTTTCCTAAGTTCACTTCAGCCTTCAACTGGTTTTCACGGTTCGTGATCTGTTTCGTTAATTTCTTCGTTTTGTCTTGTTTCGTTTGAGCTTTCTGCAACTTTTCATACATAATTTTTACTTCGTTGAGTCCACTAGGTGTCCACTCCATAGTCTATAGTCTACTGAGATCATCCACTAGCGCGTCTACGTTCACTGTCGACTTTCACTGTGCACGTCCTTTTATACTAACGGTCGAGGGGATCTCTGTACACGCGATCTAACAAGTGGTATGATCTGTATCCAGCCAATCAACGTTGAGTTTTAAAAGTGTGGGATGGCGTTGCTAGCTCGTTCCAGCTCTCACATTCTATTTGTTTAAGGCGTTGTCGCACTTGTTGAGCCGGTTCGCTGTTCAATCGATCAATGCCAAAACAGGCTCAGAACTCTAAATACTTATGCAGGTCTTATAGTAAAAACTTCAAACTATACCTATGTGAACCTTACTTTACCTACTAAACCAAATTTACTCGTAATTTTATCGAACTAGGTTTCTATGACGTAATATGTAGATTTCGTGACCGAGTGTTATCTAGCTTGGGATGACTCATATTTTACGCCTGAGTCTGTCCACGTGAAAAGGTCGATGTTCATGAGACCCAAGGCAGCTGCCCTGTTTAAACAGATCTGCCCACAAGACACACTATAGGAAACAGGTCAATCAAAACATGACATTTTCACATACACAACTGCAGCTAGTCTAACAAACTGTCGCAGCCTAATGGAAAAAATAATGAATGTTTTCCGAAGAATCGAAATATTTACGTTACTTTGATTTGTGGCCAAATATCCATTATCTCTTCTCATTATGCTTAAAGTAATATTTGATTGAACAAACATTTCAGCTGCTCTCAAGCAAACATCTTCTGTGTTTTGTATTTTTACCCTAAAATTCTATGTATAAGTAATAATGTTTCGTAACATATATCAAAACAATTTTCGAAAAGCCATTTGTCGCTTACCGTAAGCTCATTTTCTTTAAAAACATTCAGTAAGCTGTCTTTTCCAAGTTCACTTAATACAGCAATGACTCGTGCAAATTCTGAATTTTCTTCACTTGACAAACTCATAACGTATATACTCGATGCAATGCCACAATATATTAGCTATTCTAAAGGTAAACGAGAATATAATAGATATTCACATATTATGCTGATGGTGCTATCGGCGCGAGATCGTTGCACAGCTCCATCCTATTGGAATTTGGCTTTTCAATTTCTCGCGGGAAAAGTCACGGAAAATTTAAAATGCACGGAAACCTTTTAGTTTCGTTACTAGAGTGAGAAGAATATTTGGCACAAGATCTATGATGCAATTACAGTACAAAAGCCGAAATGAATGTTTCTGCAGGCTCCCGTCAGAGTCTCAATGTTTCCCGAGACGAACTTGAGGGAAACATTGTCGCTATAAGCAGGTCAAAGGTTCAGATTTAATTTATCTGCTAAGTTAACCATTAATTAATTAAATTCTTTGCATTTTCATGGGCTAAATAAAACCGAAAGCTCTTAGATTTCAACTAATTTAATATTTATCCGGCCCAATTTTTCGTTTGCTGCAAAATTAAGTTCGCTATTACTACTTCACTACAGTCCACAAATGTGAAAATTCACAACGCTGAATTATATAAGTCGCAGACATGTATGGTATCAATTTTCATTTGGTTCAGAGAATTATATTATGCTTATTAAAGACTAAGCTTGAAACCAAGCAAAAGGCACCGTATAACACCGATTCATATAACCTTAAGGACATCATCGAAAGCAAAACACACAAGGTTTTCTGTAATACAAATATTCAGTAAATCAGGTATTCTGTCTGATCCAAATGCGCATTCCAAGACAGACAAGCCAGCCAAGGTCGTGCGTCACAAATTGCTGGAGTTCTGAGAGGGAAAATGTTTGAATGAAGAAAGCTTTAGTGTATCAGCTTTTTTTGTACCATAGCCGCATGCAGGACATAAAGTGCTAAAATATAATGTTAGAAAGACTGATTAGAATACAGAACTAAAACGTCACTTGCCAGTCACGATTTAATAACCACGAAACAATTACAAAAGTAAATACATACTTGCCCTCGTATACTTGCCAACATCTACAACATCTGCTTGGTTGTTTTATGCAACGTCCTACATTTTGCCAGGTAAAGCCAGTCAATCAGCATAATATACTATATCCATGATGAATTACCAATATCTTGAAACATCTGCCATTGTTTGAGACGTGTACTGACAAGCTTATAAACAGCAGGGGACAAAGCAGGGGCTGCATGATTGCACAAAAACAATGCTGAGTCACTTCACTGATCTCAATGGAAAATCTGAGTTGTATGCTCTCGTTTGCCTTGAGAGGGTGTGGAACAACCGGGAAAGATCCTTCACACAACATGAGAAGCGAATGTTACAAAAATTTACAATAACGACAACGATTCCTCGAAATTTTTGCGAACTTGGCAAAAGGACAAAAGAATATTTAAATAAAACAACTGAAATTGCCTAAATAACCTTCAAAGCACAATAAATCACTACAAACATAAATCGTATACACATAATACACCCCCCGGAAAGTTTACTCTATGACTGAACTGACTGACTGACTGACTGATGTGAATTTTCCCAGTCACACAATAGTGCACAGTTTCAAAGAAACTCTGCACTAAAAAGTAAAAAAATTGATTACCCAACCTCAAGTATCAATTAAAAAATAAATACCCACCCATGGCCAAAAACTTTACAAAAAGATATCTTTACCACTTCTGTGACATGAGTTTGATAATGGATTGTGAAATTTTGTGCAGTCTAAAGTTTCATGTTGTCTGCACATGTACGTTCTTTGAAGAAACCTTTTGTCTCCCAACAAATCGGAAAACAGTGATCAAGATAGCGACTCTGATTGATTCACATAATGTATTGACTTATGACTGTTGACAGTGCTTTTTAGTCTCCAAAATTTCAGTGAGCCATGCTTTGGCAATGACAATAAATTTTTATTACCCAACCCTTGAGTTGTTTTGTCAACCTCGTACCCAGGGCCTTTGCGCGGTTCAGAGGCTCTGGTACGGGAAGCAAAGGCCCTGGTAAACACTGGTCATGTGACTCCAAAAATATTGGACATTTGTAACCTGGCCTTTGTTTAGGTCATGTTATCCCGGGGGGGGGATGAACAACTGAACATTGCAATGCACGAACTATAAAAGTTTCAAATACAAATGATTTTGCCTTTGATTTTTAAAATATGAATGTATAACAATTGTTTGAAAATCCATATTTTAAAACAACAGACAGCAGATTTTAGGCTTGTTTTTATTTGATGGAAATTATAAACTTTGAAGTCACATGGATTTTGAATTATGCTTTAAAGAATGCAGTATATTCGAGGTAAACGATTTTATGATGCATATATAAAATTGTATTCTCATCTTTTAATATTTATCAGTTTATATATCCTAAATTCCAGCAGATTCGTGGCTGTCTGTTTGTATAATTAGTTTTCTTCGTTTAATTACTCCTCCATCGCTTTTGGATATAAACCCTCCTTCATGCCTGATATATTTTTTGGTTATCTCCATCCTTCACTTAGTAATTCACTAAAATCAAAATTTTCTGTTCCAGCTTGCTCAGAAAATATTCAATCTTTCATAACTGGAGTTATCTTTGGCATGTAAAATCATTAGGCAGTACCCTCAGTAAAATACTTATTTAACTGGCTGACCATTACAGTAGTCAAAAGTGAATAAATGAATACATGAAAAAATTACAAATTAACTGCCCTCATACCAATCCATTGGTCTCTGACTCATCCAATAAATACTTAACAGAATAGTACGATAATAATAGAAAAGTGTGAAAATGCCAACGTTACCTAACTTTGTCTGACAAGAAAGTTAGATTACATTAATTTTACAGTCTGGTATTCTTTTCTTTATCGCCTCAATACTCTGGTTGATGATTCCAATGGCCCCCATAAAATTCCAATGGCCCCCATAAATTTCCAATGGCCCCCATAAATTTTACTGGAGAAAATTTTCCCCCCACTTCTTGCCATTAAATCTCCATAGCCCCCAATTTTACCCATCCAATTAGGGAGAGTCTTGTGTGGTCACACTATAGTAATGGGAATATGGGATAATCAAATCTGGCATACTTTGTTATTTTTCTCTGTCCAACACCAGACAATTTTACTTGTCAAGTGTAAGGTTAAGTGAGTAATAAAAAGTGGCTGGATATTCTAACTTTTGCTCCATATAATTGGACTTTGGTTGTGAGCAAAATGTAAAAAGACAATTACCAGTAATACTGGCCTTACTACATCCCTATTATTTACCTTGCAACCTTGAGCAGTTGTGCTGTTACAGCAGATTGAGCAGAATGTGGTTTCAAATGACAGTTATTTTATGGCAATTATGATATTCCAGTGTGCCAGTAAGACATTTGTCGTTTGTTTCTCTTTTAGTATTATATCGAAAAGGTGATTGCAGGGTATTCAGATCCTGGAGTGATGTGAAATGGCCATGACCTTGGGCAATTTATAAGTAATATATGAGTGGTGTAAAATAGGAAATTTTTTATTCATTCTGATTGACTAATAAAATTAGAATGGTGAGAATAATGATGATGATGGTAGTGAAATACAAGTTGTGATGATATTGGTGATGCACAAGTTGTTATGATACTGCTGATAATGATCAAAAATATATTGTATTTGTAATGAGACGTAAATAATAGAGATTGGCAGTAATGAATGTGTATGACTTGATCAATTGTGCTGGTGAGAAGGCAATATATTGCCACCTAGATGAATGGACCTTTCCCCTTATAAATAAAATTTCGATCTAGACAAAAATTTCATCCCAGCTTGAAAGAGCATCACAAAATTAGTAATATTCCAAAGTTTTGTTGCAAAATCTTGTAAAATGCGGATAATATAGCCTTGCGAAGTTTGCCGTTTTTCAGTCATTTTGTATTACAAACGGGAAATTGACATACGATTCGGGTGTTGAGGCTGCAATTTCCCGTTTGTAATGCAAAATGACTGAAAATTGCAAACTTCGCAAGGCTCTATTTTCCTCATTATACAACATTTCGCAACGAAACTTTGGAATATTACTAGACTTGCCTAGATCAAAATTTTGGTTATAAGGGGAAAGGTCTATTAAGTTCCATGCCATTTTGTGTTCAAAACTAACTGTTCTCATCAGCTCCAAGCATAACTGGGAAAGCTGGTTTCAATCCCGTTAGCTGATCTTGAAACTATGTGCACACATATAAATATTTATTTTTTCCACTCATGAATTATATTGTTTGCCCAAAATATCGGTTGATTATTTCATCTAGAAACAGTGTGAATGTTGTTTGAATTTGGTATGTTCACTCTGTGACAAGTGAAAGTGATATGTAATTCATGCATAATATGGTGATTTTTGGTTTCAGGATGTAAAAAATGAAATTTACTTACTGATAAAATTCAGTGTAACCATATTCATTAAGCCTCTGTGTCTCTCTTAGAAGCCCTACCTCCTCAATACAAATAAAACTCTGCATAGTGACTTGTGCCGTGACTAATATTATGTTACAGCTTTGGTTCAAATTTCATAAATCATGAACCGATGTACAGTAACTGCAAATGTAAACAAATAGGTGAACGCACACCCAGTATACAGACTGTTATTTGCCTTTAAGTTTAAGACTCCTAAGTCACATATCACTGATATAAGATTCATAGTAAATTTGTTGTTTCAAGATCACTGTATATTATTTCTCATGATTCAGGATTGGTACCCCCCCCCCTCTTCCAGGCAAACAGAAATATAGATGATACATCCTAAATAACATCCCAAAAAATAAATATGAAATTAACTCACACACACAAAGGTTTCAAGATACTGTGTATAATTTCATTCACAACTGTATTTTAAACTACATACATACGGAAACCAACCTGTCACTCGACCAGTTAATTGTTTCAAAATATTCTGCTTTGATAACTACATGTTTATAATACACATGAAGAATTTTGTTTCCATAGATGTCCCCTCTGATTTATCCTTCCATAAAAGTACAATAAAATCCCAAGTGATATTCTTTGGTCAATACATAAAAAATTACTTATAATCAACAATGTTTATTTAATTCTTTATAAAACGTCGCACACAAGCAGTTGCATTGGACTGGCAAAATAGACAGTTTAAAGACAGATCACTCGACTAGTTTTCTCTCAGTTTGATCTTCGTCCTTCGATCTTTGATAAGTATTACCGTTAGCTATTCCACAATTTGTTGAAAGAAAGCTCGTAGAATGCATGGATAATATATACCCACTCTTAAATCTCACTAGGAAAGTTTTATTTATCATAATAATATAAAAACTCGAAAACGTCGCGCCTGACGCGCTGCCATGTTTGATAAAATCAATCGGCTCCGCTCCCCCCGGATTGAAAACTAAATTATTACGAAATGTCCAATATTTTTGGACACACGTGACCAGTGTTTACCAGGGCCTTTGCTTCCCGTACCAGAGCCTCTGAACCGCGCAAAGGCCCTGGGTACGAGGTTGGTTAGAGCGCTGCACCACTGCATTGATAATGTCATGATATCATCCTGATCATAAAGCACATTGGTAACGAAGGTACTAGACTTAGAGTTCCGAAATACCACAGACTCAAACAGACTTGGTCTCGTAGCTCAGTTGGCAGAGCATTGTCCTAGTATCCCAAAGGTCGCGGGTTCGACTCCCACCGTGGTCAGTATACTTTTCAGCTTGCCTGGTGTGGATATACGCTCAGTGTAATATAAAAAAATTAGTTCTAGAATCCATGCAGATCTATCGATTGAGATGTCCAAAATCCTGACTTCTCAACTCCCATTAATTCACATCGTATATACCACTGTTGTTCAGGGTTGTAAACAACTGTCAAGGCAACAAACATGAAACGCACGACCGTAGCATTCTTATTTTAATATTTTAAGGCTAATTCGAATAATGTGCCTAAACAAAATTTTTCACGTGAAATTCTGCTCTGAAATTATATTTTCGCACGTACGTACGTCACACATTGAGGTTCAATTGAATTAGCTTAGCGGTAAGCAAAAGCATGCTCATTTGAGAAACAAAACGTTCGCTCGCAAAGACAAACCAACAGTACAGTGGCTGTGCAATCACTGTGGCTGTTAAGACTTTGTAAAGCAACCAGGGGATTGTATTAAATGATGATTGGCGCAAATCAGAATTTTCAATGCTGCCACGCCCCCTCTCTCCCATTATTTCTGCCCGGCCCAATCTCTTGACGTGCTCTGATAAATCCTAATTGCGTACTATTTCGTTGAGGGTATTTATGTCG